AGATTGTTGGGAGTTCATACGTCAGCTTGAAAAGAAATGGAGTCATGTTCATGGTCAATAAGATTAAATGTAATAATCAAGTATTAAATACACTCTTTGATTCTGGGGCTGACGTGACAATGATACGAAATGATATGGCAGCCTCATTAGGATTGAAAGGCAAGCATATACGCTTAGCTGTGACTAAACTAGGAAACCAGACTGTAACATATAACAGTAAGGAATATGACCTTGTTCTTACTGATAAACAGGGGAATAATGTGAATATTACTGCTTATGGTATAGATGAAATAACATCATGTATAAACAAGGTTAATCTGTCACATGTGAAGCATTTATTTAAGAGTACTGATGTATGCCAATTGGATAGACCTCATGGTAAGATAGATTTACTGATAGGTGCTGACTATTGCTCTCTAATCCCTACAGTTAAAGAAACTGTAGGTGAAAATTTACAACTTATGGAATCTCGATTTGGGATGTGTGTTCGTGGTAGTCACCCTAGTATAGCTTGTGCCTCAGGTACTAGGGATATTGTAGGCATCAGAATAAACCATATTTCTGGGATTATATATGACAAAGATATAACTGTTGAACCGAAATCTGATATTAAGGATCAGATTGATAAATTTTTCACAGTGGAATATTTAGGAACAGAATGTAATCCTAGATGTGGTGATTGCAAATGTGGCAAATGTGCAGTGGGTAACAATGACTATAGTATTAGAGGAGAGAGAGAGTTAGCCTTAATTGAAAAAGGATTACAATATGATTCAGAAAAAAAACAATGGTCCGCTAAATTCCCATGGGTTAAAGACCCTAATTTATTACAGAATAATATCTCTGTTGCTGTTGCCAAATTAAGGAGTACTGAGAAGAGATTGCTGAAACTTGGACCAGAATATGCTAAAGCTTATAACAACCAAATAAGGGATATGATCAAACGTGATGTTGCACGTAAATTAACACCAGATGAAATAAAAGGTTATGCTGGTCCTATTACATATCTTCAACATCATGAAGTGCTAAAGCCAGGATCTACATCCACACCAATTAGGATTGTCTTTAATTCCTCTGCCAAATTCATGGGACAATCTCTAAATAGCTTTTGGGCCAAGGGTCCTGATGTTTTGAATTCCATGGATGGGCATATTACTGAGATTCCGTGAAGGAGCCATAGGTATAGCAGGTGATATAAGTAAGATGTACAACAGTATTAAGCTTCCTGAAATGGAGCAACATGTACGCAGATTTGTTTGGAGAGATTTCCAGTTGAATTGTGAGCCTGAGCATTATGTGTTAACTTCAATGGGCTTTGGTGACAAACCTTCTGGAATAATTGCTATGTTGGCTCTTAAACACACAGCTGAGCTATGGATGGAAAAGTATCCCGATGCTGCTTCTATGATAATATCAAATTCTTATGTTGATGATATTATACAATCAGTTGAGAGTAAAGAGAAAGCTTTGCAGTTGATTCAGGAAACTGAGAAAATACTCTCATATGGCAATTTTAAGGTAAAGCAGTGGATTATGACTGGTGATGTTGATAAGGATGATCTAGATTTTTCAGAGAATGAAGGCGATAAAATTCTTGGTTTATATTGGGATCGTTGGAATGATGAATTTAAATTCAAAGCAAGGTTGAATTTTTCTCCTAAATATAAGGGTATACGAACAGGTCCAGATTTAAAATTTTCAAATTTTATTTGTAACATTCCTCCAGTTTTAACTAAGAGAATTGTTATAAGTCAGATGTGTTCTGTGTATGACCCACTAGGTTTACTTCTTCCATACACATTGAAAGCCAAAATATTATTACGGGAAACTGTCAGTTGCAGCACCAAGTTAGGATGGGATGACCCTTTGCCTGCCCATATGAAAGAGCAATGGGTAGTACACTTTCACAAATTATTTGGGATTGATTCCTTGTCATTTGAAAGATGTATCAAACCACCCACAGCGATAGGTCTGCCTATGCTTGTTATTTTTAGTGATAGTTCATCAAATGCATATGGTGCTGTGGCTTATGCTAGGTGGAAAATGAAATCTGGAATGTTTGAAAGTAAGCTAATAATGGCAAAAGGAAGAATAGCTCCTACCAGACAACTTTCCATACCCAGACTTGAATTGTGTGGAGCAATTATTTCATGCAGACTACGCAAATTAATCGAAAATGAATTATCATATAGATTTAGTTCAGTAATGCATATAACAGACTCGGCTATTGTGAGAGCACAGATCCAAAAGGAGTCGTATGGATTTGGGACTTTTGTAGCAACACGGGTAGCAGAAGTACAATCGAAGAGTAATCCCAATGAATGGTGGTGGATTGCTTCTTGTCACAATCCTGCAGATTTACTTACTAGACCTAATGATCCATCAGATATTATCATCAGTTCATTGTGGAAGTATGGCCCAAAATTCATGACTCTACCCAAAGAAGAGTGGCCAATAAGTCAATCTATTGAATGTGACTTGCCTGATAGAGTCCATGTGA